AATAAGCAAAACTAGGTGAAGCTTGGCCTCTTAGGAGGCCTGGGTTGCTCACCTTTGGAGGTACAGAACTAGGGCAGGGAGCTCAGTGGGGCTGGCTTCTTGCTGACAGCGTCAGAAACGGGCGTTCCCTCTGCCTGAAATTGGGTTACAGCCTAGATACTTGCCCTTGCTCTTGGAGCACAAGGTTTGGACCCAGCCTGAACATTTTCTTCTGTCTTCTAAGGGCTGAGAATACAGATGGGTGTGTCCTGCTCCTAGACAGAGGCAGCAGGGGAGGGAAGAGGCACTGGCCAGAATCATGGGCTGTCTTGGAATACTTGGTTGAATCTGCTCCAGCTTTTTCTTTGTAGGAGAGTGACTGCGTGCAGAGAGCAAAGGGGCTACTTTAGAGCCAGGAGCCTGAATTTGAATCCTGACGTGGCTACCTCTGAGCACTGTGACCTTGGATGAGTTATTTAGCTACTTGGTGGCCTACTTACCCTCTGTAGTGTTCACCTGTTCTATCTCAAAGAATAAACTAAGAGACAAAGGCACAGGGAAAGCAAGACTTTAATGATGGTCTTGCAAGATCTAGTATTTAGGTAAGCATACACACCCAGGGCAGTTACTGTCAGCATTTTATACCCTAATGCGCAAGCGCTCTCCCCTGATTCCTCACTGGCTGAGTACTGTGGGGGTGTAGTCATCCCAAACATTGCCTAGGTTCTTCTGCCTTCTGTTGGGTTATTTAAAGAAATATACCTTTGTTATCCCACCTCCCTTTGTTCTCTTGTGGCAGGAAAGTCTTCTTGGATCGAGACGTCTTGCAGTTTCTCTCTCTGTTGGCTAGGCTGGCCCGTTCTCTTCCCTGGCCCAGCACCTTCCCTCTCGCCTCCTGTTGGTCAAAGGGCTGTGAATTTTTCACATTCAAATGTTACCTGCTTGTAACTTTCCACTCTGTTCTCCCCTTCTGCTGCTTTTCTTACATTCCAATTTTACATTTATAAGCTAAATACTATATTCTGAAAATGGGCCACCCGATTTTGTTTCTCACGTGTAGGATTCAGATGACTGTGGTGCCTGCCCCATGGGGTCATGAGAGTGTTCAGTGGGAGGATGCAGGGACAGGGCTTGGACCAGGGCCACGTTCAGGTGAGTGGCCTTGTTGCCAGTAGTACTACTGTAACACTGGTACTTGTGAAGGCAGGCACAGGGGCACATACCTGTAATCCCAGCAGCTCAGGAGGGTGAGGCAGGGGGAATCATGAGTTTAAAGTCAGACTCAGCAACTTAGCAAGGCCCTAAGTAACTCAGGGAGACCCTGTCTCTAAATAAAATATTAAAAAGGGCTGGGGATGTGGCTCAGTGATTAAATGCCCCTGGGTTCAATCCACAGTTTTCACCAGCCACTCCCCCCACCCACACACTCCCCCCACCCTCACCCCACACACAAAGCGTTGGTGCTTGCTTCCTTAGGCAGTGCTGTTGAGACTTGGAAGGAACTATGTTCTTAGCAGGTTGACGGTTATACATACCCCTACCTGTTGTCCAAGAGCACTGGTTGGAAGCACAGCATAAATAAAGTCTTAAAAGTTAATGCCAGATCCTTAATGGTGCTGAAGGGAATGTCAAATGGCACAGCCACTTTGGGAAATAGTCTAGAAGTTTCACAAAGAGTTAAACAGTTCCCATATGACCCAGCAATTTCACTCCTAGGTTTCCACCCAAGAGTAAAGAAAGCATATGTTCACATGAATACTCGTATGTAAACATGCATAACAGCATTGTTCACAACAGCCCCAAAGTGGAAACAAACCCAGGTGTCCATCAACAGGTGACCAGACAAAATGTGGTAAATCCACAGAATGGGCCGTGATTCAGCCCTAAAAAGGAGTGAAATACTGACACATGCTGCATTGCAGATGGTCCTTCAAAGTATGCTCAAGGAAGAAGCACATACAAAGGTTGCATTGTATGACTCCATCTGCATGGCGTATCCAGAATAAGTAAGTCTCCAGAGACAGAAAGCAGATTAGTGGTGCAGGGGTTTAGAGGGAAGTGAGTTCTGTTGGCCAGGGTTTTTAGGGGGGGTGATGAGAATGTTCCACATGTAATTAATTGTTAGCATGACATGAACATGCGAAAAACCATTGGATTTGTGCTCTGTAAATTCATAAATTGTGTGATATGTGAATTGTATCTCAGTAAAGCTGCTATTAAAAAAAAAAATTAGGGCTGGGCCTGGGGCTCAGGGGCATAGTGCTTGCCTAGCATGTGTGAGGTGCTGGGTTCTATTCTCAGCACCACGTATTAATAAATAAAATAAAGGTTCGTTGACAAATAAAAAAATATTAAAAAAAAAAAAGAAAAGTTAATACCAGGGTTAACTAAGAATGAGATCATCTAATTTTGGCAGCGAGTTTCTTTCTACCTCATTGGAAGCTCCATGAGTGTGTTGGGCTCTGAATCACAGCTGTCCCCTGTTCCTTGACATTCCCTCTGTTTTCCCCGTGGCAGCATATGTAATAGGATCAGGTGACTGCCTCACAGTAATATTGGAGGGGCCGTGAAGGACATTGTAATTGTGGGATCTGGCACATAGGTCACAAATGAGCATCAGTTTCCTTCAGTCCTGGCCTGTCTTGGCTTTCTTTTTCTCTCCTAAAACCCCTTTGGGAAGAAGATAGAGCCCCCGTTTCACACATGAGGAAGCTGAGGCCCCAGTGAGGAGGAGGAGAAGCTGTGGGCATTACTTCTTACTTGGTTGGTGAGGCTGAGACCCAGGACTGTGTCCAGCTGCAAGGCAAGATTTATGGCTGGTGGCCCAGTACTCAGTGGAAACAGTTTCTGTGCCAGAGAGGAGAGCAGGCCTTTGATGACAATGAGTAGTTTGGTGACACTGAATCCTGGAATAGTTGTCAGAAGTAGGCCTAGTGGGTGATCCCTTGAGAAGAAAATATTAGAATTCTTTTGATGTTTTATCATCTCTATTTATCTTTGTGTGATACACATTATATCTTATTATCTATTGGTGCTGTGGCACACGTCTGTACCTTTCCAAGTGCACATTCTGTCAACATTTTAAGACCCCTGGCCAAGGGTTGGGTAGGTAATCCAGGAACAGGAAGAAATGGTGCCCTGGAAAAGACTCTGCAGTCCCCTCCCCCTGTGATCACTCATGGCTCATGCACAGCTTTGTCATTTGGTCTCTACTCGGGTCCAGGAGAAGCATATGCTTCTGTGTGGGGAAGTCCAACTCCAAGCAGCTTAGAAGAGCACCTCAGAGAAGGCCTAGGGATTAGACTTCTGTAGAGTAGGATAAGGAGCTGGGGCTAGAGAGAGAGGGGGTGGAAAAGGTCAAGAACCCTCTCCTGGGCCTCTTCAGCCAGAAGGCTGTGGGGACTTGGATCCAGGCAAGATGGACTTGGAGACCACTGCCCTCAACTGCTGCTTTGTTGGAGGACAGCCCCACCTGGCTCCCAGTGCTGGCCCCTCCTCAAGTACCAGCCCACAGTGCCTGGAGATACCCTGCTATGCTAATGAGAGTGCTGGGTGGCTGCTGCTCCTCAGCCCCACCATTGCAGTGCTGAGGCCCTGCACTGTGAACCCTGCTGAAGGCGTGTCCCACCCAAAGCCCAGCCTCTGCCCTGCCACCTGCCTTTCTGAGCTAGGCCAGTGGAGCTCATTTAAGCTCAGAGCCCCCACAAGGAAAGACTTCTTGGAGTTAGGAGCTCCCTCTGCAGCTTTGGGAAAGAGACCCAGTGGGGGTAGCATGTGGATCCTGGTGACCATCGGGTCTGCTCCTGCAGCATGCATCAGGGATGGCTGCTGAGAGAGGTGGCAGTAGTGGCTTACAGGTCTGCCTAGTGGCAGTAACAGGAAGATCACACACAGTCCAGTGGAAGAGGCTTGGGGAGATGGCAGCTAACCCGAGTTTGGCAGATGAAACCACTGGGTGTGGGGGGGGGAGTAGGGTGGGGTGGTTGGTCTGAGGTTAGCATGGGTACCACATCTTGCCCTCAGACCAGGACCCTCCCTCAGCTGTGAGCAGGGAGCTGGCAGTAAGCACTGATTGGGCTGTCCCCTACTGCCACCATCTGCCTCTTTTTCAAATTGAAGATGCAAATGTTTCCTGATTCTCCAGGAGTGAAACAAAGGCAAACCCCAGAGGGCTGCAGAGTCAGCCTGGCCCCCTGGGGCCCCAGGGCTCTAACCCACTGACTGCGATCCACTGACTGCGCTTCCTTGTGGGAGCTGGTAGTCCTGGTGTGGTGGGTGCCACAGCACCCTGCCCACCTTCCCAAAGCATCTACACATTTGGTGGGGGGAGTCTTAAGACCAAATAAGGGCTGACAGATCACCTCTAGAAAGGCCTGCTTCTCTAGCTATTGCCTATGTGAATTTTCTTAAAGCCTTCCTTTCCTGTGTTTGGTTTTCTGTCCCCAATTTCAGCTTCTAACAGCTTTTCTGTTTAGAGGGGAAAAAGTGTTCTGGATCAGAGCTGGCTGGCAGCCTCTGCAGGCTCCAAAGACTGGGCAGGTGCTGGTGGGCTAGCCCTTTCAGGGTGCCCAACTCTGTTCCCCAGCCCCATGGCCAGAGCTTAAGGATATGGCTCCGCTCCAGTCCTCTCCTTGTATCTAAAAATAACCTGGCTATTTTCATCCACCTCCTCTGGAGCCTTCTCTCCTTGTTCTCTTGGATCAGCAACCCCTCTGGGACTAGGATCTTGGCTGCCTCTATACCCCCAGCTGTCCTCCCTGAGCTGTCCCTTTCCTGTTCTCCCCCATCCCTGCCCCTTCCTCTGGTGCAAGCCAGGATATTGTTTTCAAGGAGGAAGTAAAGTGCAGCCGGGTGTCCTCTGAGAAAACCTGGCTTGGCCTGCTTCTTCCTGAGTGGGTAAGGGAGGAAGTGGAACTAGGAGGATGGAGGACCAGAATGACCAAGTACTCCAGGATGAGATGCCACCTTGTGCTGCCTCTTTTCTGCTACCTCTTGGTGACTCTGCCTGTCTTTTCTTTCAGCCCACCACCCTCCCACAGGGCACTATCAACATGAACCAGTGCACAGATGTGGTGGATGGGGAGGGCCGTACTGGCCAGAAGTTCTCGCTGTGCATCCTGACACCTGAGAAGGAGCATTTCATCAGGGCAGAAACCAAGGAAATCATCAACGGGTGAGCACTCAGCAAACAGGAGGGGGCAGTGTGCTCTGCCCCCTGTCAGTGGGCCCTTGCACCAGGCTGGCGTTCAGTTCAGCATAAAATGGGCTGTGTGCAGTTTTGGCCATGTCAGCATGGCTCTTCCGTAGCTCCCTGTCTCTCTCAGCACTTCAGCATACTGTGCCCACCAGGCCTACGTCCCATGCCTCGCGTCTTCTATACACTCCACAAGGCTGCCCACGTGTCCTGCAGGCCCTGGGATCTCCTCTCCTGTCTCTTCACTGGCTTCCCCACCTCCATTCTCACCACACCCCAACCCTCCTATCACTCAGCCACAAGGCAGCACATTCCCCAAAGCACATCTGCCCCTGTCCTTTTCCTGCCCTAAACCTGGTCACCATAGAGGTCCAAGTTGCCTGGTGGACCCTATGAGGCCCCTTATGGCTCTCCAGCGCCGACGCACCACTGCCATGCGCCTCAGGCACTGGACTGCACAGTGTTGACCATGCCCTCCCCTGAGTCTGGAAGTACTCCTCCTTTCTCTTTTCCTCTAGGCTGAGTGTCAGCCATTCAGAGGAGCACATCATGTGGAGATGCTGGGCTCCGTCACCTGGCTCGGGTAAAAGCTCCAGATGATCCATGTGGATGTGTCTTTTGCAGTGATGGTCCTTGAGGGTAGAGGCCTATCTTAGTCATGTCCCCAGTGCCTCACCTGTAAGCCACTCTGTGCTCCCACTCTAGGGACTGGCTTCTTTGGGTGGAAAGGACAGACAAGCATTTTGCTCATCCTATTCCTCTATGCAGGGTTTAGAGGAAGGCCAGTGAGGTAAAGGACGCCCGCGTTTTGAGATAGCTAATAGTCCTGGCAGATGTGTGCTCAGGATCTCCTGATCCAGCAGTGGTCATTTGGTACCAGCACTTCATAGCCTGGGCCATGGTGTAAAACTGCCTGCTCTGTGTGGGTGGGAAGGCTCAGCATGCCTGGCTGGGAGCTTGGGGAGTGGGTCCCAGAAATTCCCACTCATCCTTTAAGGATTAATGGAGGGACATGTGTCAGAAGAGGCTTTGGGAGAAAGCAAACCTAGGGAATGGCTGATGGCTGCCCTGCAGGGTAGAAGGAATTGGACATATGAAGTCCTTTGGTTGACCATCAGAAGACTCCTTGGAGCACCACCTTGCTTTAGCATCTCAGCTGCATCTCTGACCCAGGCCTAGAGTAAGGAGGTGAGAAGCTGGGTGCCAAGGGGTGCCCTATGTGGGAGGCCATCTTTTTGCTGGGGATGAGCTGGAGGAGTACCTTTTTGTCTGTCCCTGAGCTTAATCTAGAACCACGGGGCTTAAGGGTATCCAGGGCTTTTGAAGAACCTAGACCTTGCAGTGAGGAGCCTGAGGGCCTGATGGCAGGGCTGCTATCAGTACTCCTTCCGGGTATGAGTGGCCATCTGCACTTCCCTTTCACACCAGCTGCTGTTGTGAACTGGCCAGACACACCTGACCAAAATGGCTCCCTTAGGGAAACACTCCCTCCTGGCCGTAACTAAGCAGGCTGGGTGACAGGTGAGGCAGAAAGGAGGTCCGAGGTCCCCAGGCAGGCAGGGGAGTAGCTGGAGCTGCCTTGGTGATGGTTAGGAAAGGTGATAAAGGTGATGCTTAGCTTTTTGGTGTTTTTGGGGGGTGGGAGTGCTACCGGGAATGGAACTCTGGGGCCCTCAACCACTGAGCCCCATCCCCAGCCCTATTTTGTATTTTATTTAGAGACAGGGTCTCACCCAGTTGCTTAGCCCCTTGCCAAGGGGCTGGGGCTGGCTTTGAACCCAGGGTCCTCTTGCCTCAGCCTCCTGAACCACTAGGATCACAGGCATGACCACCACACCCAGCAATGTGGCCATTATCGTGGGGTCCTTGCTGTATCCTAGACCCCTTTTTCATTTTGCCATCCTCTCCTCTTCCCCTTCTTCTCTTCCTCCCCTCCCCACCTACTGGGAATGAAACTCAGGATCTTGCACATGCTAATAAGCAAGTGTTCTGCCACTGAACTACACCCCTGCCTTCTCATTTTGAGAGAGGGTCTTACTAAGTTGCTTATGCTGGCCTCAAACTTGCTATTCTCCTGCCTCAGCTTCCCAATTGGGATTATAGGTATGTACCACCACATGCAGCCTCTGTTTTCTCTTCTGTTAGCATGTATGGGGCCTGCTATTCCCATATAGCATGGATAGACATAGTTATTTGCAGACCAAAGTATTGGGTGCATGTGGCCTCGGTATCATGTACATGGTGCTCCGTAGAGCCAAGGCTTGTGCTGTGGCTTGGTGCCATAGCCACAGCCAGAATAGGTCACCCCAGGCTCTTCCTCTCTCATTGTCTGGGTTGGGGTTCTGCTCATTTCTGTCTAGCAGGTAGGTTCTCATGGTGGCAAACTGTCCCTGGGCTCTGTAGTTATTGCTAGCAAAGTTCCCCGTAGTGGGTCACCTTAGGGGTGAGTGCCTGACTTCTCAGCCAGCCCCTTACACAGGGAGGATCCTAGGCACCCTGGCTTTGGGGGAGGCCAGCAGAAGTGCCCAGGGATCATTACTAAGGATATCACAGGGGAGCATAGAAGGAGTGGTAGCTATAATCTGGGACCTCAGAGGTCTGCAACCTTCTGGCTCTGCCTTAGGCACTCCTAGCCCCTTGAGGATTTCACTTCCTCATTTCTGAAACTAGAGGCTAGATCCGGTGATGGCTTGAACACTGCACAGAATTTTACAAGGACAAAGGAATTGAACAGTGGCTGCCTCTAGCCCAGCCCATGGACAGTAACACTCAGTTATGAGCTGAAAGTATAGACAAACACCTGTGCCATCAGAGACAGGTCGGCAGGTCTCTGCTTCACGGCCCACGGCAGGAAAGGAGACTGCAGCTATCTGCAGGACGAGGGCTTCCCCAGGGGCCCGAGCCCTCTCACTTTTTGTGTCTTGCTCCTAGAACTTGGGGAGCTCACAGTGCTATGGCTGCCCTTTCGGCAGCCATGACAGCTGATATTTCTGCCAGGCACTCCAAGGACCTGTGTCTGCAGAGGACAGATCCTACAACTTCACCAGACTGTGGTCAAGGTTATACACACACTCATGGCCCCACGTGTGTGGGAGCAGAGTGGAATTGCAGAGCCTTCCAAGAGCCCCAAGCTCTGCAGGTGCCAACTCCTGGGAGGAAGGAATGGATTGGCCACCATGTCCTTTCACTGCACCACCAACCGAATGCAGTTTAAGGAGGCAGGGAAGGGCCTGGTGGTGCCCTGGGCATCTTCCGCACTGCTTGGCCCTGCTGTGGCTGGGGTCACATATGCTGAAACAGGTGATGGAAGGTGTCCTCACTTAGATTTCTCAGAGGAGCCCGGTGGGAAGTACCTAGTGTTAACTAGATGTTGAGGATGTTAACAAAACAAACTAAGTGAAGAAAGAAGAGGGGTGACTTTGGGTGGGTGCTTGGGCTGCCCAACTCTAGAAGGCAGAGCCGGGGGAATGAGAGAAGGAGAGCAGAGCAGGGGAAAGAAGGGGGGCCAGCCCCCAGCTCCGGTGGAGAGTGCAGGTGAGGCGTGCTTGCTGGCTTCCACCCAGTGCCACCTCCTCTGAAAGAGCTGTGTGAAGGGTGGCCTTAGCAGCCTTAAAGTCTAGTATATGGAAACTGGAAAGAGAACCACTTACTCCCTCTACCCAGCCCTAGAGAGACCAGCAGCCTCAAGGCCATTCAGAAGACTGGGAGGGAGGTTGAATGGGCCAGTCCCAGTGGCCTGGCTCCCAGGCAGCCCAGTGGAAGCACTTGTACCTCCTTAGGGACCTGACTCTCTTGTACCCTGAGTGCTCAGACCCACGGTGGGGCCTAGTGCTGACACATGAGGAGCTGTGACAAGCAGAGGAGGCTGTAGCAGGCACTGGAGAAGGGGTTGTCTGCAAGTACAAGAGAAGACAGGAAAGACAGACAGGAGCACCTGACCCAGGATGCAGATGTGGTTATGTGACTTGCCATTGAGGCCAAGTGTCCCAACATGGGGAGGGGAAAAAGCAGTTGTCAGGGTCAGGGAGAAATCATCTGCCTCAGTAACCCTAAATGGCCTCCAGCTGCTGCCCATCTGTGTACTCCACAAATTCACTCAGAGCAGGCAGCTTGAGAGCTGAGTCTAAGCCATGAAGATAGGTCCGTGATATGATAGTGATATGCCCTTGTGCCTCAAGGCCTGTGGCCAGGGCCTCTGCCAGAGTGGAGCCTGCCTTGTGCCCTGAATCTGCTGTGGCCATGGCAGGGGCATCATCTGGACCTGGGCCTGACATAGCCTGTGCTTCTGCCGTGCTCAGTGCCTGGAAGCCTGGCCACAGGATGAGCATCTCCAGGGAGGAGGTACAGTGCCTGCATCCTGGACCACTCCAGCAAGGGTCAGGGTCTTAATCTGGTGGTCTGTCTCTTCTCTTCTCCCCAGATGGCTAGAGATGCTAATGGTTTATCCCAGGACCAACAAGCAGAACCAGAAGAAGAAAAGGAAAGTAGAGCCACCCACCCCGCAGGTAGGCCTTGGGTTTGCCAGGTGACATCCCCTTGGTGGGGCTGAGGCCTGGGAAGGAGGGTTCCTGGAGAAGGGAAGGAAGGGATCGTGCTAGGGCTGAGGCAGTCACACCCTACACACGTTCTGATCCTCTCCATGTTCTGAGGACCACAGTCCACACCATCTTCTCCAAGCCACCAGGACACAGTAGCCTGCTGGCGTGCCCTGGGGCTGCTGCCCAAGGGAGGGTTCCAGCCAGTAGGCAGGTGCCAGTCAACACTGTAGTGTGTGTCCCTCCCCTGATCATCCTGTTGGCCTCTGGGGAGGAAGAGCATGTGCAAGGGTGGCCTGCTGCATGCATTCCTGTACTGCCACAGCCCAGGAGAGGAGACAGCTGTGCAGTGGGGAGGCAGAGTCCTGGGATGTCCCCACCCAGTGGGAGACTTTCAGGGTCCCCCACCCTGATTCCCATGTGGTAAGAGAGGATGGCTGGGCTAGTCTCTCCAGGCCCCTCTCCTCTCCCTCCCTCCCTCCCTCCCTCCCTGGCCAGGGCAGGAAGGGCTCTGCACCTCTATCTCTGATATACTCTCTACATTCCTGGGGCCGGGGGGCGTGAGGTGACCTTTCTGAGCTTTTACTAACTAATTTGCAAAACAGGTCTGTTGGTATCTGATTGCTAGAATGATGGTGGGTACTGAAGGAAACGGAACCCACTGTGGGCACTCAGCAAATACTGATCCTTTCCCCTCTGTGTCAGACAGTTGGCCTCACCAAGTGCTTTTGCTTTTGATGGATCAAGCCTCCAGCTGCCACCCTCCCACTTCCACCCCAAGAGTAAGCAGGATGAGATGGGGTCCCTCGGGCATTACAAGGCCAGAGGCAGTGGGAATGAAGAGAGCCAGCCTGGGGTGGAGCCTGCTGCCCTAAGATTATGAAGTCCTCCCAGGCTGCCTCCCTGAGATGCAGTCAGGGATGGGCAGGAAGAGAGTGATGCACCTGGGCTTGGTCCCTCCCTCACACCCCTTGACTGCCCTTCAGCCAGTTTGTGCTGAGCTGTCGCACAGGCCCTCCTGACAGCAGGGCACAGCCTAAACCCCCCCTCCACTGACAGATGTGCAGTCACCATCCTGTACTCCCCCGGGTCCCGGGTGGCACGCAGGCATCTCCTGAAAGGAAATGCCCCGTTAGTCAGAAAAAAAATGCAGTCAGAATGCTTCCTGGAGATGGAGAATGGAGCTTCCTTCTGGAGCACAGTAGTCGACATGCAGATCCCCCACGCTGCCTGGTCTGAGAAAGTATCATAGGCAGAATAGCAAGATTCAGGGTTACACTGGGTTTCCATGGTGATGCCTGAGAAGCTGGGCAGAGCTTCTGCCTCCAAATAAGGTAATTCCAGGGAATTGGTTGTGCTCCCTCCCCAAAATGGTGCTGCCCTTAGCCAGGTTCTACCTGGTACCTGATCCCAGGGCAGGGAAATCACCCACTTCTGCCCTGAGAGTGTGCCTCTCAGACCTGGGGCTGCAGGGCTCTCAGCCTCCTCTACTCAGCTCTCTCCTAAGCTGGCCTAGCAGGGTCGCTCTCATTTCTGTCCTAGATCATCCCTTACTAGTTTCAAAAACCATGAACTTTCATCACACATCTTCCCCAACTGATGTTGTGGTGACATGGGACCTCTACAGAGGAGAGACAGGCACTACACTGGGTCAAGGTCTGGTCACCTCCCTCTGCAGCCTGATGCTGAAGGTGTTCAAGTGGCCAGGGTAAAGTTGTGGGGTGAGCCTAAAGCTTTTGGGTTCCTAGAGAGTCAAGAGCCCTGTGTCTGACACTTTCTCCGTGGGCTTCTGTAGACCCAGGAGACTTTCCCATTAAACCATCCAGGGCTTGAAGCCTTGGCTCTCTGCTGCATCCAGTTGAACTTAGCCTCTGCCCTGGAGGTGCTCAGTTGGGAGGTAATGGCCCCAAGGAGGGCCCGTGGATTAGGCTGAAGGGGAAGCAGCCAGCAGAGCCCAGGGCAGGGAGAGGAGACAGACCCAGCCCTGACCAGAGCCCCACAACACGTGGCCTGTGAGGCACAGCCTCCAAGGAGTACTGAGAAGGAGCGGGAACAGGAGGAAGCCCTAATCCGCTGTTAGGTATGACCAGGGCCAGAGTCCCTAGCCAGATGTGCAGTCCCTGAAGGTCTCTGTTAGCCAGTGGACCCCTGAGAAGTCAACCCCTCCCTTTCCCCAGTCCCCCAGGTCTGGGTCCCTTTTCAGAGACCTGTAAAACCGAGGCCATGCCCTGGCCTGTGCATATATTCTCTGCTTCTCCTTCCATAGGAGGCTCCTTTTCTCTTGAGGGGTCTGCTGTCCCCTACTTTAGGGCAGAGCCCTCCCTCCTTCTCCATTTTCATGCCAGGGAAGTAGAGAGGCCTTCTCTGACACTCCTTCAGAGCGAGGGGTCCCATTTCCTCTCTCCTGCTCTGAAAACCCTGTGAATGTTCCTAATGAGCAGCAGACTTCACTGCAGCATTAACAGCATGAGCAACACAGCTGTCCTGGGCATCCAGGAGATGTGCCTCTTCCTCTTGCATGAGCCCCAGCAGCCCTCCCCCACATTATGGGGGAATCAAGGGATCCCCAAGACCTAGGCCTAGCTGTGTGGCCACACTTGGTCCAGCCAGATATCTCATCTACCTGATCAGAGGAAGAAAAACATCTTTGCATAGGATGGACTTCCTCATTGCCCATCTCCACCTGTGCCCTACAAGCCGGAGTGACTTGGTTACTGCTGTTCCAATGAGGACAGTATCAGTGAAGGGGTAAAAGAAATCTGGTAATTGGAGGAGGGACCATCAGTCATGTCTTAGCGTTGTACCTCAGGAAGGGCATGCATGTGCCTGCGTACTTCCTCTCCCAGTGTGGGACTGTAGGACCATGGCCAGGGCTGTGCCCCTCACAGGCACAGAATCCTTCTCCTTCCTCTGTGACCCTCCCTGGTGGCCTCTGCCAGCCCTTGGTCCAGCTTCCCTTCCACTATGGAGACTGATTTATCAAGGACAGTTTTTATGTTGCCTTCCTCCACTGCTGTGCAGGAATCCAGCTACCCCTGAGCCCACCAGAGCTGTGTCTCAGCCTCTGGCCACCTGGAATTGAAGTGGCAGACAATGGCAGAAGGACCTAGAGTGGCCTGGAGCTTGGGGGAATTGTTGCTGCTATGGGGAGTGAAGGTGGATGGATGGGCAGACCAGGGCAGTGTGCTGACTGAGGGAGCAGGTGGCCCTGAGGCTGGGTCTCTGGGTCATTGGAGCCCTCGTGAAACTGGCAGGAGAAACCTATACCATTTACTTTGGAGAATCTTGACTTCTGAGAAGAGTCTCCAGCCTGAGAGTTAGTGAGCCATTGACTCTGAGCCAAATGGGTGGTCAGGTGTTTGCCTTTGGGCCTACAGGAAAAGCTGTCCTAACTGATCTTGTCCTGTGAGGCCTGTAATCCTTACAAAGCTGACATCAGATTTGAACTGGGGCCCCCATCCAAGGGAATGCTCTGCCCCTCCCACCCCTTGTCCTGCTCTGAGGGCATGTAACAGTGGAAATGCTTGGATCCCACACTGTCTCTTCCTGACCATACAAGAGGCCTGCCCTCCAAGGGGGTGAATTGGTGAGACTGAATGGCATGGTGCCTAGCCTGGCTGGTAACAGATAACCCGAAGGTTCTACTGTGTCTGCATGTGCACATAGAAGTGCATACAGATGATCTGGTCATCTTTAGCCCTCACCAAGGGCCCTGGGCCTGAGGTAAGCTGAAAGGTGATTCAAAAACTGAGGCAGGGCTGCCAGGAGGGGACTGGGAGGTGAGCATTTTTGTGTCACCCCCGTCTTTGGCCAGAGAGCTGAAACTTGCCTTCCTTTTGAAAGGGATTGAAGCCATCCTGTTGGCGGCAAGCACCCTTGGCAGGCACATTGGACAAGGGATGAGCTGATGCTGCAGGAAAGCAGGAGGTCCAGCCCCGCCCTTGTCAGGGTTCTGTAGGAGGGATCACTTACCTGGGTGCCCAGGACTGGGTTTGACTCACAAACACTTCTCCCCTTGGGCAGCACCACTTCTAGGACCTGGGGGAAATGGGACTTGATGCCACTCTTGGTGGGGTACCAACTTGGTAAAATACTGCAGACGAGGTGGCTTAAGTAACAGACACTTATTTCCTTACAGTCTGGAGATTAGAAGTCTGGTTAGGGTCACTTCCTGGTCCTCACCTGGGAAGGGGCAAGTCCCATTTGTGAGGGCTCCACTCATGACCTCATCACCTCCCAAAGGCCTCACCTCCTGGTGCCATCGCCTTTGATGTTAGGATTGCCATATATAAACGGGGTGGGGGACACACACATCTTAGGCCGGAGCATTTGACTCCATTGATGATTCTCGCCTTCACATAGTGTCTGAGTGTTCCATTTTAGCTTCTTAGGACCAAAAGTAGAGGTAGATAAGTCTTGAGTGCATGGAAACCTGCTCTCTGCATCTACCCTAGGGCCCAGCAGATGGTCATGGACCCAACTTAGAGATGTGATTGCTTCCTTTGCCACGTCCATCTCCCCTTATTTGTGTCTAAAGTACCCAGGAGGGGCTGGGGTTGTGGCTCAGTGGTAGAGTGCTCGCCTGGCATGCATGAGGTTAAATCCTCAACACCACATAAATGTAAAATAAAGATATTGTGGGTTAGATCCTCAACACCACATAAATGTAAAATAAAGATATTGTGTCCACCTAAAATTAAAAAGTAAATATTTAAAAAATAAATAAATAAAGTACCCAGGAGCCTAGGAATGGCAAACTCTGAGCCAGTCCCTATGGTTTCACCCATAATTCTAGGGCTGCTGTTCTGAGTTCTCTCTGGTTGTGTAGGTGGGAAGAACTTGCACATATTTGGGACATACCTTTGGAGTTAAACTGGGGCCTTTCCTCCACATATTGACCAAGTGAGCCTCAGGCCACTTGGAATAGGCAACTGTGGGGCCACAGAGGTGAAAAGACCATGGTGCTCTCTGGAAAGAGTGTCCACTGTTCCCAGCATTCCCTTCTGGAGCTTCTTGGCCCCTGGTGCTGTGTAGCTGACCCTGTGTCCCTTGTAGCTGGGCACTCAGGACCTATGAGCTGGCTTGTGCTGTGTGCACCTAGGCCCTAACTTACACCACTGTTTCTGCAGGAGCCTGGACCTGCCAAGGTGGCTGTCACCAGCAACAGCAGCAGCAGCAGCAGCATTCCCAGTGCAGAAAAAGTCCCCACCACCAAGTCCACACTCTGGCAGGAAGAAATGAGGGCCAAGGACCAGCCCGATGGGAGTAGTCTGAGCCCAGCTCAGAGTCCTAGCCAGAGCCAGCCTCCTGCTGCCAGCTCTCTGCGGGAACCAGGGCTGGAAGGCAAAGAAGGTGAGCAGTGACCAGCTGGCCTGCGTGCTCACCTGTCCTGGTGCCCTGTCTCGCAGTGCTAGAATGGGCCTGCATCCCAGCAGATAGGAGCTGACACTGGGAATTGGTCATGGCCCCCAGACCTCACTTTCCCTTTGTGCATAGGTTCTGGGCAGCCAATGGCCTGGGCTTCTTGGGCTTGCCATTCTAATTTAAGTTCCATCTGTAAGGGAGGAGAGTGGCTCCTGCTCTCTCAGCCCCGGGGTGGGTATCAGGAGAATCAAAAGTGTTCTGTGGCAATGCCCATGTGTATGATGAGACCTCTGTCCCTGCACCGTGTGCTTGTGTTCATGCCGCTACCCACCATGAGCGGTGTTGATGAGGGCTGCCCAGCCCCTATTGCCTCTACCCTGTCCGGGCCCCTGGCTATAGTTAGGGTGCTGGAGAGGAAGTAGTTGGCATCATTGTGTCCTTTCCACTGAACACTTTGGGATTGCTTGAGCAGAATCAGAGTTTCTGTGTCTACCTCTCTCATCTCAGGACTTAGTGAGTTCCACGAGACACAGTCTGGCTTTGTCCCTTCCTATTTTGTCCATACAATTAAGGACAAGTGCATAGTTGGGGTGGCCCAGCTGATCCAGTCTGAAATAAAATTTTCACTCACTCTGGGCAAAGATTGTCTGAGTTCTTCTTTGGTAGCATGTGCCCATCCACCTCTAAGAGACTTCTGCTCCATTCACATCTGTGCAGCCCTCTGCCCCTTCCAGCCCCCAGATCTAAGAGACCAAAAGGCTGGCAGACTGTTGGTTTCCTCATCAGAGTTCAGTAAGAAACATCTGGTGGGGCATCTTCCCTCCTGGGCTGGAGTCCTGCTCTCCCTCCAGCCAGTCTGGGCAAGAGGAGCCAGTGGAGAGGAAGATAGCAGAGAGTCTTTCATTCCAGCTCTGCCCTTGAGTGATGGACACTGGAGTTGAAAGATGGAGAGAGATGGCCCCTGTTGGGTCCTGTGTGGGCTCTGGAAGCAGCAGGCTGAGTGTGCTACCCTCTCCCCATCTCTTACAGAGGAGAGCAGCATGAGTAGTGACCGCATGGACTGTGGCCGCAAAGTGCGGGTGGAGAGTGGCTACTTCTCCCTGGAGAAGACCAAGCAGGACCTGAAGGCCGAGGAGCAGCAGCTGCCCCCGCCACTCTCGCCCCCCAGCCCCAGCACCCCCAACAGGTACAGTTGCCCTGAACCGCCCTCCCAGGGACTCGGTCGTCCCCTTCCCTCCCCAGGTCCTCGGGCCCCCAGCCGCATGATCTGCAGCCTCTCCCTCAACTCCCTGGACGAGGCCAGACCGCAGCCTGCTCACGTGGATGCCAGCAGCACTGGGGGACGGGAGACAGAGACGCTGGGGAGCGCCTTTGCCTTCAGAGCCAGCAGGCAGTATGCTGCCCTGGCCGACGTCCCCAAGGCCATCAGGATCAGCCACCGAGAAGCCTTCCAGGTGGAGAGGAGGCGACTGGAACGTAGAACTCGGGCCCGGAGTCCTGGCAGGGAAGAGGTGGCCCGTCTGTTTGGCAACGAGCGGAGGTAAGGAGGGGACGAGGGGGTTCCTGTGTGTGTGGATGCTCACTCACACTCTCACACTCCTCGAGCTGCGCTGGGAAAACAGTGTTCTTTTAAAAGCAGGAGCACCTTTCCCTCTGGGCCCTGGCTTCCAGCCCCAGAGCCAGGCTCCCTGCAGCCCCCAGGATTTCTGAGTGCCTTGGCTGCTGTGGACCAGTATCTCTTGGATCCCTGGTGGATTCTCAGCTGCCTGAATCTCATTGGGCTGGATCTTATTCTTCTTGGCCCACTCTGTTCTATCAGGTGACCCTGGCCGTAGGTGGGGACAGACCCTCTTCACTCTGGCAGGCCCATGTGGGCAGAGCACAATGAGAAGGTGCCGGGGCAAACAGCTGTGCCCAGGAAGGTGAGGGCAACACAGTGCCTCTCCCTTGGGGACATGCTCCCTGCAAGCTACAGGGAAGCCATGGTGGCCTGCAAACCCACTCAGTGCCTGATGGTATCACTGTTGCCCTTTGCCCTTTGGCCTTGGCTGAATTGGGGAGGCCGACCAGAGTCCCAGCTTCCTGGGGAGAGATGGGCTGTGGGCAGCTGGGCTGACACTGTAGATGCAGAACTTGGTGCTGAAAAGAGGATGCCTTTTGCCCACTCTCCCCCTGTTCCACTGGCCTGACTTTCCTGAGAACCACAAGATGTCACTGGAGGCCTGGACAGAGTCCCCACATGTCCTTCAGAGGGTCTTCCACCTGCCTCTCTAAATTGAGGCTTTGAGGAATAACAGGACGCCTCACCTGTGGGGATAGACTCTGGAGGTCGTTGGCCCTTACCTCAAAACAAATTTTTAAAAAATATTTATTTTTTAGTTGTAGTTGGACACAGTATCTTTGTTTTTTATTTATTTATTTTTATGTAGTGTTAAGGATCAAACCTAGGGCCTTGCACATGCTAGGTGAGTGTCTACTGCTAAGCCACAACCCCAGCCCACCCCAAAACAATTTAGGAGTAGATTTGTACATTTGTCAAGGAAGAAAAACTATAGTTTTCATTTGGTTTTTGAAGAAATTTACTCTCTAGAAAATAGATTTAATTCTAGAAATGTCCACGGTGTCCCTCCGGCCCTGGGCACAGCCTAAGCTGATTTGGAGTTGCTGTTAGGGACACAGAATGTTGGCATGGGATCCTGGAGGCTCCCTTGAGGGACAGCTCAGAAGAGGTATTTTTATCTCTCATCCCTTTTCTTAACCCACAGTGAAGCCACGGTCCACCCACTCATCTAAATGTCCCAGATAAAAGGGCCTGTGGTCAATCTCCAGGATAAGGGACTGTCTGACTCTGCCCAGAGTTACTGGTCTTGAAAACAGGGGAAAGTAGGTGCACCGTCTAGGGAGAGCAGTAAAGCCGAGGGAGCCAGGTGCCTCCCAGGCCCCTTCCAGGTACCCTGTGTACTGGGCTGCTCTCATATTTCATTGACAGCTTGACAAGATGCCTGCTGTTACCATCCCCAGCCTACAGGTGCAAAAACTGAAAACCAGGGTTCAATGATAGGGTGACCTCCTGTAGAAATAGCTGAGGGGCCCATAGTGGGAAGTCCCTGCTCCCATGGTGTAACCCATCGTTAGAGCCCAGGGTGTCTTAAGCAGTTAAGTAAACATAGAAACGAAGGGCCTTGCTGGTGACCGAGGAGGCTGGCAGTGTGGGCAGGAAGGCTTTGTGCTGGCTGGCAGGCAGACTGTGTGTCATGGTGGTTCTGGAGCAGGATCAGCCAGGGCCTGAGTCAGTGCCAGACCACAGAATTAACATTCTGCACACCTGCTTGGCTTGGCTGCTTCTCAAAGAGACTCATTTTGGACTCATTCTCATCCACTGGCCTTGGATAGATGTGGTTTGGGGGGCTTTGCTCTTGCATGCTCTTTGCCACCATGGAGAAGGGTCTCAGCTGGTGTTGGCACTCGGGGACTTCCTGCCTTTACATACTAACCCTGCAACTGACCCTTTCTCACTGACCCTAATGACCTCTGACCGGCTGCTGCTGCTCTCTGAGGCCCACTCACTGGATCCCAAGTAGGCCACCCTCTGCTGAACTGGATCCTGTCCTCTGGTAGGTTATAGCAATGTCCAGAGTGGCAGGAAATCAGACACAGCTGCGCACAGTGGCAGCCAGGACAGGCCTGCCCTGCAGCCATGGGGCAGTTTCTTGATAAGCCTCGCTAAACCAATGAGCAGGCAATCTGTGTGAGCATGATGGGCTTTGGGCTTCGACATGTTTGTTTTTCAGACTTCCAGAGCCTGTGCAGATGTTTCTGGAACAGGGATTGCCTCTGACTGCTGAGTGTGGGGAAGCCACGGTCCTTAGGGGGCTGGTGGTGACAGATAACCAAGCCAGTCCTGCTGTGCAGTCTGACCCCCAGGCCCTTGCCATGTAGGGGTCATGCCCTGGGAACCCTGGCACTCTGAGGGCAGGTGCCTGTTCTCTGTGCTACCTGTGTGAGGTGTTGCTGACGCCTGCAGTGCTTCACGGGTGCCGTGTTAGTAACTTCCCACCAACACCGTGAATCAGGGCAGAGGGTGCTGAGCCTGGCCTTGCAGTGCTTTCCCTCAGATAGAGTGGCTGTAGCAAGTGCCTTTCCTGTTTTCCACTCTGACTTCGAGCCCTGGAGCCCTGGAGCCCCACAGCCTGTGACTTGCATGTGCTTCAGGCTCAACACAGCCCTACTGCTTTCCTGGGGAGCCTCCACGGCAGGTCCCATGGCAACACCCAGGCCTGTCGGGGCCAGATCACCCCGCTGCAGTTCAGCCGTGCTGGGTGCCTTGCCCTTACTACCCAAGCCTTCTCTTGTGCCCGTGGCCCCAGCAGCCTCCTGAGCTTCCCTCCCTCACACTTGCCTCCTTGCCTGCTCCCGGTCAGTGTCTGCCCCCTTTGCTGGTGTAGCAAGCTGGCCTGACACGATCCCCCTTCCTGAAGAGGCACTGTGCAGAAGGAAGACCAGGGAAGTGGCACCCATGTGCCCTCTGAGTTTAGCCTGGGTGCTCTGCCTCCCTTGAGTAGGGACCTCCAGGACAGATCCACACTGAGCCTCCCTGGGAGTCAGCAGAGTCAGGTGTGGTCCAAGTGTAGTCCAGATGTAGTCCAAGTCCAAGAGGAAGCACCTTCTCCTCAGCTCTCATGCTTGCCTGGGACATGGCTGGGGGCCTGAGGTGTCACCGGGAGGGCAGACCTTGCAGAAGTCAAGGGAGGAGGGGCTGTTCTCCTGACAGGTCCCGTCCACCCCTAGGCCCAGGGGTCAGCCCCAGAATGCAGGCCTGAGCACAGCCCGCCACTTGCCAGCCTCTCTGCCTGACCCTGCCTGGACTCCTGACTGAGGGACAATGGGGTCCTCCTCTGCAGTGATCATCTTGGGTTTTGCTTCTTTGATTCTGTGGGTGATTTTGGTTTGCCATTATTTGATTTGAAGACAGTTCTTTTCTGTTTATTCATTCTCCAGCCTTGTTTTCTTTCAGGTCTTGTCCTCTCCGCCCTCTGCTGTGTCGCTGTGGCGTTCGCGCCTCCTCCACCCGCTTCGCTCCCATCTCAGCTCCGTCTCCGGCACAGACCACCTGACGAGGCCGCCGGCCCTCTCACATGAAATCAACCTGCTTTGTTTTGTTTTAGTTTGGTTTT